TCTAATTCAAGCTCAGTCTGATCCAAAAGGTACAGTACTCTCTTCAACAGTCTGCTGTTACGTAATCGTGAAAATTTATATTTATCTTTGTTTCTTCTCTTACTAGAATTCATAAGCTTGGATTGCGGATTACCCCCCACGGCTTCTCCTTATACCGAACGAGTGACTGGATTAACTTTCATATCTGACGCAAACTTTACCCAAGGTGGCCAGCTCGGTAAAATAGAACAGGTTCGGGAAGGAGGATACAGGCCATTAAAATTACTAAGATATTTTCCAGACGGAATAAGAAACTGCTATGATCTAAAAGTCATTTCAGGCACTAAATATCTTATCAAAGCTGTCTTCCTCTACGGGAATTACGACGGGCTTGGTGTTCTCCCAAAATTCGATTTGTATATTGGTGTTAACATATGGACAACAGTCGACGTAGAGGATACTTATTTTTCTCAAAAAGAAGAGATCATACACATAGCAAGGTCAAGCTCTTTACAGATTTGTCTTGTTAGAACAGGGAAAACTACACCAATCATTTCAGCCTTGGAACTAAGACCATTGAGAGCTGACACGTACATCACCACAAATGGTTCCTTGAAGCTCGTAGAACGCAGTTACGCTGCTGATTTTCTTCTTGGTGACTTTATTCGGTAATCTATTTTATTTTCTTACTTTACTAGCAAGAAAATTTTGAAGAGAACAAGGGTTTAATCTTTTTTTTTTGTTTATTAATGTTCAGGTATCCTGCAGACGTATATGATCGTGAATGGGAGCCGATGGCTACGTCCAAAATGAATATTTCAAAAACAAGTGTTCGTGTAAACACTTCTACACCTTATGATCTACCACAAGAAGTCATTTCAAAGGCATTGAATAATAAAAACGTGACTGAGAAGTTAACTTTTCGCTGGTTTTCTGAAAACGAAGACAAAGTAGACCAAGCAGTCATATACCTTCATTTCGCTGAGATACAAACACTCGCAGGCAACGAAACAAGAGAATTCGACATTATTTGGACTGGAGAGAACGATAACTTTGAAAGAAAAGCTTATCGTCCTCCTAGGTTACAACTAGAGACTCTATGGAACCCATTGCCTATGACATGTATCGACTTTAAAGTTGAGCTAGTTATGACTCAAAGATCAACTCTTCCACCAATGATCAGTGCTTTGGAGGCATATATAGTTATTGAGTTTCCAAAAGCAGAAACTAATCTACAGGATGGTTAGTCAAATCAAATCATCACTAGCAAAAATTCATGTTTGGTATATTTGTTTTTAATATTAGTTTGGAATTTCTTGTCAGTTGCTGCGATCCAGAATGTTCGAGATACTTACGAACTGAGAAGAATTGACTGGCAAGGAGATCCGTGTGCTCCTCGGTTGTTCAAATGGGAGGGTATAAATTGCAGCTACACAAATGCTTCTATTCCACCAAGAATCATAGCCTTGTAAGATTATATAGTCAAAAATTCAATTACATATTTTAAATCCCTGAAAATGGGTGTGTTCATATAACCAGACACCTATCATCAAGTGGACTAAATGGCGTCATAGCCTCTAGTATACAAAACCTAACCCATCTACAAGAACTGTAAGTTAATAGTTTGTTTTGTTTAAGCTCTTAGATTGCTTCTTAATATACATTTTGCCTTAATCAAATGCTAGGGATTTGTCGAATAATAATTTGACTGGAGGAGTGCCTGAGTTTCTAGCCAACATGGAATCATTGTTGATTATGTGAGTATATTTCTTGGAAAACAATACCTGATCACATATTTTCACCAAAAACGATGTATATGAATAATGTTATATGTTTTGACAGAGACTTAGGGTGGAATAGCTTAGCCGGTCCAATTCCACAAGCCCTTCGTGATAGAGAAAAGAAAGGCCTGAAATTGACGTAATTAAGTTTATCTCTAACAATTTATTAAATTTTAACGATAATTTTATACAATAAAACCTCTGTAAATTCATAAAGTTGAAACTATAATATTTTATTATAGATAGATTTTTTTAATATTTTTTAAAGAAAGTAGTAAACATATTTTTGAAGTAATAAATTTAGAGAAAATGGCCAATAAAATCATGAACTTTCAAATTAAAACAAAAAAACCTTCAATTCATGTTTGAGCCAAAAAAAATCTCAATTTTTAAATATTGACAAAAAATTACATGTTAATATATGAATAGTACAATTACATCAATTCGCATTAAATTGTAAAATTTCTAATACAATATTATGTAAAAATAAAAAAAATTATTATTAAACATTCATATTATTAATTACAAAACATAAATATATATATATATATATATATATATATATATATTATTATTTTTTTTTGTAAAACTAACGGTTTATGAGTTTGCGTTGAACATAAGTTAAATAAAACACCCGCACAGAGATGCTTCTAGTCTATTTTATTAAAACTGAATTACCTTTTAATACTATCTGGAAATAAGGATGCTAAAAGAGAATTGTTTGGAATTATAGATAGCAGATTAGGTACTTCCTTTTATTTGCACATTTAGCCATTATATTTACAATAAATTAAATACCTTCTTTTTGTATTTTTTTTGTTTAAATATTTTGTCATTGTATTTAAAATTAATTTAAAGTAATTTGTTACAATAGTTTTTCTTTTTTGTGGTGAAAATAAAAACACAAACTAAAATATATAATATATTATATAAAATAATTTTTAAATATAGTATTACCTTATTTAATTAATCAAATATAAAATTTTGAGAGTTCAGTTTTCAAGAAAAACAAAATATCATAAAATTGATAATAATTCAAAGAAAACTAATGCAAAAAATTAATTTTTAGTATGTTGTTGTATTTTAAAATAAATTAACAAAAAAATGCATTACATGAAATTGCATCAAGTTATTAAATTTCTAAAATAATATTGTATACAAATAAAAAAATATTATTAAGTATTTATAATATAAAATAATATATTCTATTCTATATGTAAATTAAAAAATATATAATTTTTTTTACAAAATCAACTGGTTATGAGTTAACATTGAACACAAGTTAAATCAAATATCCGCACGATTAAGGCTTAGTTATTCTTGAACACTTACACAAATACAAGTCTATGTTTTCGGCTCTTTTACAAACACAGAGAAAATGTATATTCAAGAGTTGTACATCATTCCTGAAAATTGTATGGGCCCCTCTACGAGCTCAATATATCCCAAAATTAATCAGAAAAATTATGAAGAACAATAATGGTTAAAGTAATAAGATTTTATTTACTTTGATTAAATTTAAATATAATACTATAACTAGATGTTTTGCCTGCACATGCGGACATAATTATTTTACGAATTTTTTATCAGTTTATGTTTTTAATTCAAAACAACATAATAAGTTAGAATTTATTTTTTAAAATTAATTATAAATGATAATATTTACATAGCATAATATTTTAAAATATATATTTATACAAAGGTTTTGGTTGATTTATATTTAATTATAATTTTTCTATCTTAATTTTTTGTTTCTATAATAGAAAATTATATTTTCAAGATAAAAATATAATACTTAAAAAGTATCATATTTTATAAAAATATAATAATATTAACAAAATTTCTTTTTTATTATATAAAATATATATGAAATTATTAAAAATAATAAATAAGCAAAATTACTTAAATCATGGAAAAGTACAAATCAGCAAATTCACGTAGATTTTATAATAGAAAATATATTTTCAAGATAACAAACTAATACATAAGAATTATCTTACTTTCTAAAAATATAATATTATTAAAAATATTTTTATTATATGATAAATTATATATGAAATTATTAAAACATGATAAATAACTAACACTACCTAAAATCATGAAAAAAATTGACAAATCAGCATGTATTTGATTTATATTTAATTATAATTATTTAATATCTTAATTTTAATTTCTGTAATATAAAAATATATTTTCAAGATAAAATATAATACATAAGAATTAATTTATTTCTAAAAATATAACATTATTAATACAAATTTATTTTATTATATAATAAATTATATGAAATTACTAAACATGACAAATAAGCAAATTTACCTAAAATCATGGAAAATTGATAATTAAGCAAATTTACTTCTAAAATAATAATATATATATTTGAACTATTTTTCTCTAAAACATCGTTTACTCTGAAGTAAAATAAAAATTAGATACAAATTATTATTTATGATACTAATGGGACAATATTTTTATAACCACAATGGAACAATATATTTGAATAGGATTTTCTATAATTTTGGTATATTGTTGTCTTCTCAAATTATATTCTATGTTGAACTGGTCTAATTCGGAAGCCTTATTGAGAGAAATGATTACATTATTATATTTATCAATTTATCGAGGTTATTTATATAGTTTCTACTGTAACTTTCTTGTTCTATAGTATTCAAGGAAATCCAAATCTTTTTCCCTCCGGCTCAGGCAACAATAAGAGCAAGAAAGTACTCTTAATTCCAGTAATTGCATCGGTTGCTTCAGTCGCTGCTCTTGTCGCCTTGTTGGTTCTCATTTTTGTTTTCAGAAAGAAAACCACCTTATCAGAAGGTAATACATATGTAGAATCATTGATGAAGAAGAACACAAAGACTTCATAACCCGTTAAGTCCATAGTATATAATAATGGCATTGCTCTTTGCATGTTCAGGCACAACTGCTACACCCGAGTTACCAAGAAAGCGATCAATCTTTTCCAAAAAGAAAAGGTTCACTTATTCAGAGGTAGTAGAACTTACAGACAACTTCAAAGAAGTCCTTGGAGAAGGAGGGTTTGGAGTTGTCTACTACGGTTCTTTGAGTGGTAGCGAACCAGTCGCTGTCAAAGTTCTCCGAATCATCAGTTCAAGGCTATAAGGAATTTAAGGCAGAGGTACGTTATAACATTGTTCCACTTTGTTTGATCTAAAAAACTAGTTTTTAAGTCATACTGAGAGTTTCATATGTATGAAATGGATCCAAAAGGTGGAGCTTCTTTTACGTGTCCATCACATAAACTTGGTTAGCCTTGTTGGTTACTGTGATGAAGGAGGCCATTTGGCACTTATCTATGAGTACATGGCAAATGGGGACCTTAAACACCATCTATCAGGTAACTAATGTTTTTACAATACGTGTCTTTGTTAGTCTATGAACCGATAACTTTGATGCCTCCGGCATGTAAGGATATTACCATTTTCATTTACAGGAGAATCCGCTGGATCTACTTTGACATGCGCTACGAGACTGAAAATTGCTCTCGAGTCGGCACAAGGTAAATTCTTGATAACCACAATTTCGGTATATTTTAAGATCTTATACCAACTTAACTACGATGTCTCTACATGGAAATGATATTATGTTCATATAGGTTTGGAGTATCTGCATGTTGGATGCGAGCCGCCAATGGTTCATAGAGATGTCAAAAGTACAAATTTACTATTAGACGATCGCTTCGAGGCCAAACTTGCAGATTTTGGACTTTCAAGATCATTTTCCGTGGGAGCTGAAACTCAAGTAGCAACAGTAGTTGCAGGAACACCTGGATATCTTGATCCTGAGTAAGTTCTCTAATACATAGCCAACTAGTGTAACTTCAAATTATTTTACATCATTAAGTTTCCATAAAAATATAACTCTCTATATTGTCCAGATACTACCAAACAAATTTGTTAAATGAGAAGAGCGATGTCTACAGTTTTGGTATTGTACTCATGGAAATCATCACAAACCAATATGTGATTGAGCGAGCTCGAGAAAAAGCCCACATATCAGAATGGCTAAAGGTTCTTATAAGCAGAGGAGATATTGAGAAAATCGTTGACCCAAACCTTGGTCGAGATTATGACTCTAATACAGTCTGGAAGATTCTTGAACTAGCAATGTCATGCGTGAATCATTCTTCATCTGACAGACCAAACATGTCGAAAGTTGTTAACGTGCTTAAAGAGTGTTTGGTCTCTGAGAGTTTGAGGACAGGAAGACAGATTCAAGATGATGACTCAAAGGAATTCTTACAATTGACTGTTGATTTCGGGACTCAAGTGACCCCTGCTGCACGCTAGCCTGTCACATGAACCCCCATCATTTATCTTGTTAAATAACAGAAGAATTGTTCATATTGTTTGTGTATGTTATGTTTATAGATTGGTCTGATTTGTTTATTTTTCTTGTTCTTTGAGCTGTCTTCGTTTTTTTTCAAATACGTTCAAATAAAAAGAAGAGAGAAAATGACTAGAATAGATTTTAAAAAGTTTTTATCACAAATATAGATCTTAAAAATTAAAAAGACCAAAATAGCACTTAAATATTTTATTAAATATACATTTATACCCTTGGGTTAACTAATTCTAGATTTTTTTTTGTTTAGAGTTGAGGAGTGCGGTTTTGGAAATAGGGTTTCGAATTAAAAAAGTTAAGAAAACTTAAAATTTTCAAAATAAAAAGTGCTATTTTGGTCATTTTAATTTTTGAGGTCTATTTTTGTGATAAAAATTTAAAAGAAGGCTATTTTAGAGAATTGCCCTAAATATATAGACAATACCATTAACCACATTTTAGTTTTAATATGTTTATTCTTTTTTTATTATATTGTTATATTATTGATTTTTACAATATTCTAAATTGATCGTATTTTAAACTGTTTTTTTAAATTTATTATAGTTATTTATTTTGTAAATATTAATTTCTACGGTGTATTTATTGTTTCTAGTGCATTATTGTCAAGTGTTCCCCTCATAAACTAGTATACGTATTTTAATATAAAAAACGAAAAAGGAAAAAAAATATTATCTTTTCCCGGTGGTCGTAGATCGGATCTGAATCATCAGAATTCACAATTCATAACCAAATAAATCTCAGAACTCATATTCGATCGATTCCAGGCGTAAGCAGGGTTTTACAATCACGCCGAAAAATATGAAAGAAGCGAAGTCTGCGAAGTTGAATCATCAAGACAACAATGAACAGATCCACCACGAAAACAGTCACTTGGGTTCCTTCAAACTCGCCAAATTATTCGACTCAGAAGCTTCCTGGGACAAGGTAAATATACTCTTCTCTCCTTTCTAGCTCTAAAGTTTATTCCTTTATCGCTTATGTGATTCCATATTGGGGGGGGGGGAGATTAGCTTCAGATTCTGATGGGTTTTTTGCCACTATCACAGCTCTTTGGTTTTTTTTTTTGAAGTTTTGTTGTTGTCTGATTTGGGACAGGATCAACTAGGAGATGTGTTGCATTGGATCAGACAAGTTGTTGGGTTACTCTGCGGTTTGATTTGGGGTGCTATTCCTTTGGTTGGTGGCATTTGGTTACTTCTGTAAGTACTTTTCTTCTCTTCTGTGTGCAAGTATAGCCATAAAGAATTGAACTTTCTCCCTTTACTCAATGTTATTACCGCATGAAATTGAATTAGTATGGCCACTATTTCGCTTAGAAACCACTTCAAAACAATCAATTTTTCAGACGATTATAAGCTACAACAGTTTACTATTTTCCTTATTAAGTTACTCTGAAAATTTTGGCAGGTTTCTGGCGATCTCCTCAGGCATAGTATATGGTTACTATGCATTGATTCTAAAGGTTGATGAAGAAGACTATGGGGGACATGCAGCTCTTCTCCAAGATGGTTTATTTGCTTCTCTAAGTGTATTCCTGGTATACATACATTCTCTTCCATCCTCTTTATCCATTGCTTCCTACCCTAAGATAGTGTCTATTAAAAGGTGATTTTGGTTGTGATGCATTACGTTTCAGCTTGCGTGGATTCTGGTGTATAGCTTGTCTAGCTTCTGATAGAGACGCTACTGTCTTGCGCTTAAGTTTTGCTTTGGTCTGCTCGGAAGAAGTGTAGCAGAACGTGCATTTACGTGGTGTCTCCGATTACATTCTTGCTCTTGATGCTTTTGTATTTCTTAAGATGGGAACTAGCATTGTTAGATCTTGTGAGTTTAGTTTTTTTTTTCCAACTATTTTCTTTTTATTTTGTGTTACAAAATGGTAATTTTCAGATTTCTCTAAATTTGGGGCAAACAAATTCATTGGGATCGAACTGTGTTCTAGCTTATTCTGTATAAGATAATCGAGAAAGTGTTAATAAGCTCGATAAAATCCAACTGAAATTGTATCAAGCATACGTTATTCCATCATATATTTCGAGGATCTTTCCTTGGTTACTTTGGCATATTCGGAAAAGAAGAAATGCTTGGATCTTTGAAGGCAAAAGTTTTTGTCCCTTGCAAACACTTAAAAAGATAAGAGATGATGTGGATACTTGGTTTCTAGCTCAAAGGGTTGAAGCAGAATCGGATCCTTGCTATCTGCCCTCCAAAGCTTGTTCCTGTAGAAGGTGGACTTCCTCTCCGCCTCATTCGATTAAGTGTAATCTTTGCTTATTCTTGGGAAAAACAAACAAAAATAGTTGGAGTTTCATGGTTGTTAAGAAACCATAATGGAAAAGTTCTTTTACATAGTCGACATGCCCCCATTGGTTGTCTTGCTAATGCGAAGCTGCAATTTTTTCTGTAGGCTGTTAATAGTATGTCCAGTCTAAAACTTTCTCAGGTTATATTTGGTTCTGAAGCTATTTGACTTAGTTGTAGTTGTTAATCGTCCAAATGCATGGCCATCCTTTGCATTTCAAGCTTGATCAATTTGGCCTTGTCTAATATTCAAAGATGGAGAGTTCACTCAGAAACTAATCTTAGTGCCCTTATCATTGCTTAAAGTGCTTCATTTGGTGCCCGGATACATTCTTATGTGCCTAGAGGGTACTTCTTTTTGGCTTACGAATACTTCGGACAATGATATGGTTCCTGTCTGATTAGTTGTTTAGAGCGTGGTTCATATTTTGGCTCCTCACTTGTTTGAGGCATTTTAGGGTTTTCTTTGTAACCTTCTTTTTTTTGTACTTATGACCTTGTTCATAAAATTAAAATGATTAAAAAAAAAATGAAGGTGTCGTGTAGAAATAAGTTAGCAAAGCAAATGGGGACAGAAAACAAAAGAAAAATGCGTCTGCCGGGAGTCGAACCCGGGTCTATTGCTTGGAAGGCAATTATCCTAACCGTTGGACTACAGACGCTTTGATGTTTGGATTTGTTTATCGTAAATCTTTGACTGAACGATACAAAGTTTGATCAAGAACTTGTAATTCCAAAGCCCTAAAATATTTATCGAGAAACCCAACTTGTTGAAAAGTTTTTCTTAAGTCACAACTACAACTCACGAACATTATACAAAAATTTCTTCAGTTCAGATTCTAAAGCAAAAGCCTACTATAATCAAATCTTAAACAACATATTATGTTGAAGTCTCAACTCCTTTTAACATGCCTTGAAATTGTGTGAACCAAACAAAACTTAGGCCTCGTGACATCTTTCTACCACCAGGTCCATCACAATCACATCAACTACATTCATTTCTCTCAATGTAACAATAAGAAAAGAACACACACACACACCAAACACAATCCTAGTGTTAATCAACGCCTATCGAAGTAAGAATCCCACTCATGCTTCTCAACATTCCCAAACACATTATACTTCCAAGAAAACCTCTCCGGAAAATCAAAAACCTCCTCATTCCCTTCCTCAATCCTCTTCCTTAACCCCTCCACTCTCCCTAAAACCCCATCCACAGCAACATCAAACGCATCTTCAAACCTTCCTACATCTCCTCTCTTACCCGAAGGATTAAAATACATCAACCTCGGTATCAACTTTATCACTTCTTCTCTCATCGCCACAACTTTCTCCCTCGGAATCCTACTCAAAACCCTCTCTATACTCGCTTTACCATCTTTAACATTCTTCCCCGGTATAAAAACTGAGTACTTCCCAATATCTTTCGGTAAATGCCAAATGTACTGCGCGTACGCCGACCCTGGATGGAAGAAAACAGGTATACAACCAGCTAAAATCGAGTCGAAAGTGGAGCGTCGAGTGTAGGAGTCACCAGGTGGTTGGAGACAAAACGTTGAGCTTAAGAAGAACTTCATGATCTGGTCGGGTTTGTAGCATTTTTGGGAGCCCGAGACGCATTCAAGAAGCTTGCATTTTCTTCTGGACGCTTTGCATTGGTCCATGATCTCGCTTCTTATGCTGTCACCTAGGTTTGGACGTGGTGCACCAACGAAGGAGAATAGGTAACGACGTTTGATTCTTCTCATACGGTTCTGCCATTGGAGGATCTCTTCGTTGGTTGAAGGGTGGAAGTAGGTTGGGTAAGGAACCGCGAAGCCGTGGTAGTTCCATGGGCTTGATTCTATTAGTAACATCGTCATGTTTCTTATTTCTGGTAGGATCATTAACCTGGCTAGGTAGAAAGATAGACAACAATGAGAACGCTTGTACAATAAAAGTAGACTCTCTAATTTTGTAATTATGCAAAGACTAATGATAAATGTATTAAGAATTTGAGATAAGTGAAGTTTTACTTGCTTAACCATTTTGTCAGTTCATTACACCAAATTTTATAGAAGATTTCCCATTCTATAACGCTTTATCAACTTGTGTTTTCCTCACTAAACCATTTTGTCATTCCTTTCTACATATGATTTCAGTTTACACTATGATTATGTCATGTTTTACCAATTGGAATTATCATCATAATCATCACAATAATGAATGATATACCACTCTACATTTTGGCAATATGAAAGATGATTATGCAACTATTTTACCACACACATAATTCATTAATTATTTACGTATTCACGTTTCTAATGTGCTATATAGTAACTAGCAAAAGTGTGAAACATTATTGATATGCTAATCATAATATTAGTATTATTAGTGACTAATAGGATTGGCGGCGTACCTGTTGCCCCAATCAGATTCATTCTCTGGCGTACGCATAAAGTCCCAAGTAGTTCGACCAGCCACCATGAAATGATCTCGACCGTCCATTCTCTTCCACTCTTGCCTCTCCCTCAGCCACTTCATCAGATCAAGCGCCGCCGCATCTCTCATAGAAGGGAACGGTCCCCACAGAAACCTCATCAAGTCTAAACCGGGATAGTAAGGAACATACACAGCCGAAGCAAGAGACGAGTCTTTGGTCAAGCACTTGTACTGCTTCATCCTGTTGTGGAATATCACTTCTAATGTGAATTGATTCGTTGCAAACCAACCAGAAACTCCCTCCATGTTTGGTAGACGAGGGCCTAATCCAAAGTTCGATGTTAACTCGCACATATCCGTCCACCTACTCAACGTCCAGCAGTTCTTGAGAAGCTCTTCGTTGAATAAAGATGGAACTTCGTGCATGTAAACGTATTTTCCACGACATGGATCGTTACGTCGCGTTACTCTTGGCCGTGCCACGACTTTAGCTCGGTTTCTCTTGGTGTTTACTCTGCTTGTGACCTTGGAAGTATTATTATTGTTATTAGACGGTTTTTCTTCAGTGTTATCACCTTCGAGATCATCCTTACCTTGCTTACTTATCTCCACATCGTTAATGTTATCAACTTGCGCTTTATTTGATGTAACATCGTTCTTAGGCTCGAGAAAGTTCGGTTCCTTGTCTAATGATTGATGATTCTCATCACTATTATCCACATTGCTCTTGTAAGCATCATTATGGCGAGCCCTTCTCTTGTCCGAAGATCTCGCCCTTCGTGACTCACGATGTCCTCTCCTAGACCTCGTGTACAAATGACTCCAAGCCGTATCATTACTTCTCTTCTTCTCATCCTCAACGTTTTCTTTCTCAAGTTCCTCAACGAGATCAGTCACAACCTTGGCGTCTTCCGAAATCTGAACCTCTTGAGACGAATCATTACCGGTAGTAACAGGAAGAGTGATGTTGTCGACGTCAGAGACAACAGTTTGGTCGGATTCATGGTTTTGTTGTGAGACGTGTACAGGGAGATCAATGACGTTTTCTTTCCGGAACAATCTCTCGTGGTTATGAGCGGTTTTCACGGAGGCATTGAAAAGGTAAAGCAAGACAAGCCAGAGGATGAAAGAGGCAATTGCTACGTACCAAAACTGTGTTCTGTACTTTGAACTCGACTTCTCCATCGCCATGGCTCCTCTCCTTTGTGGTTTTCTCATGCATTAGCCAAATCTCCCCCCACCCCCACACAAACCCCTGATTTGTGGCTTGTGGCTAAAGCAACCGTGGAAGGATGTGAAAATTCTGAGTCTGAATGAGAGATTTTAGGTAAAAATGGATCTCTTGCAGATTCAGAATAAGAGTGGAGGCTGTGAGAGAGATTTGAGATTGTGAGGGTGTTGAAGCGTTCAAAGGTTTTGTAGTAATTAATGAAAAGATGTGTGTTTTTCAGTAAACTAAACGTTAATTAACACTCTCTGTTTCATTTTATTTGTCAAGTTTTTTGCATACATATTAAAGAAACATTTAATTTTACATATTTTTAAGATAAAAACACAATTACCTATACATTTAACCACTTTTCAACAAATAAAAAAAATAAAAGATTATATAAAATTAATAAATTTTGTCTCGAAACTCTAAAACAACACTTAATTTGCGATAAAAAATTAAGCCTAGAATGATAAGTATTCTAAAACGGAGGGAGTATATAGTTAACATTTGGGAAGGTGAGATAATTAAAGATTTTCTCGCACAAGTGTCCTTAATGGTGTAAACATCCCCCTATATATTAAAAAAACATTATAATATGTTAGCTAAGACACGTGTCATTATCAGAATATTTCTCAAAGTTTCTAGAGAAAAATGTTGGTTCATATAAACATATAAAAAATTTTTAGTTATACTAACCATAAAACTGTTATTAATATCAATCATTTTTTCCTTAAATAAAAACTACAGAATTACCTTAAGTGGTTAATATATATATATATATATATGACAATTAATGATTTGAATAAGAAAAATTTGATAGAAATTTGTGTATTCTCTATTCTTTTTGTTAAATTTAATTGTAAAAATAAATTAAACAAGCACATTACCATTGGATAGATTTTGAATTAATACGCTTAAGAGAGTTTCAGATCATCACGATTTGTATTGAGGTAGATTATTCAGATTTGGTGGATATAATCGACAACTGATGGGTCATTATTTGCTTCAGAGCTAGCTTATTTTTATATATGGCATAACATTGGATAGATTTTGAATTAATATAAACCGATTCACACGTTAAAATCATGTAGCCATCACAAAGATTTAAACCAAAGCTGATTACCATCTTTAGAAAATTGACCATATTTTAAAGTTATATTAAAATAAAAATTCAATTTCACATATTTATTTTAATTTTTTTTACGACACTTAAAAACATGAACAGCCAAGAAAATGGACATGCTTTTTTGAAATGACTGTACTGTGTTTAGAGATCTTCTGGAATTGTTGGGACAAACTTCCTTTTATAATAAATATTCTGATTGGAATTGCTCTGTTGTTGGTGTACACTGCTTGTTTGAGAACATGTAACCATAAGTTCATTTACTATCTACAATGACTTCAAGATTTAACATTTTCTTTTTACCTTTTAACACTTGATGTCATTTTCTATTTCTTTAATTTAACAATTCAATAGACATTTAATTGTTATTCACTAATTAATAATTAGTTAGTATGTTTAGTGCAAGTAAACATAATCTCTATTTATATAGAAGAAAATTATTTTTTACTATACGAAATAAAAATAAGTTATTTAGAAGGTTTAGCATCATAATTATTCAACATACTGGATAATTTTAACATCAAATATTGAAATTCATTCAAATATTGAATCTTTACTTAACATATCTAATATAAATGTTAAAAATGGAATTATTGAATTTTTTTTTCATAGTTGAATAGCTGTAATATAGAGATGTTGAAAATAAAAAAAAATCAACTGAATTTTTATTGTTGAAATTAATCAACTATTTGAAACAAGAAAATGAGATCCGCATTAATGAAATGTCATTTAATTATTGGCTGCTAAAATTGTTGAATTTTCATTCCTCCAAATTATTTTAGGTTTGTTAAGTATATCAAAGTAATTTATAATTTAATTAATTTATGTCAACATTTATCACTATTGGGTTAAAAAGTAATTAGGATGTTTTATTAAATTTTGTTTATATCGTTATAAATTATGTATAAGGAAAATAATATACTTAAATTTTAGTTATTAGTTAATCATAATTATTTTTATCTATTAATATACAGTTATAAAGTTTTAACAAAAAACAACATAAAACAAATGGAAATAATCTTGAATAAAAAACTATTGTATAAAATAAAAGATAAATATATTTAATTATTAGTTGGAAGAAATAGAAGATGATGAAAATGTTTAAAAGTCAAAAGTATATCTTTTAAAAAACAAAGAATTATACTTGATTTTAGACTATATACAATATCACATCACTAAATGCCATATTTCTTTACTTTTTACATTCCACATCACACTATACATTTTCTCATATTCATTTTACATTCATCAAATTTTACAAATGGTTTTCTTTAAATAAAATTCAATAGAGAATCGAATTTCTTATTCAAAACTTTTTTTGCGTGTGGTCTGTAAATATCTATAAATAATAGTTATCAACTAAAATTAAAAGAAATAAATAAAACTTGATTAAATTTCAAATATTTTAATTACAAATTATAAAAAAAATTGATCTATTTCACACAATATATAATTTAAATAAAATAGTTTATTGGTGAACAATATCAATATTACAATAAAACATTTATGTGTAAAATTCAAATGATCTAAATCTTTATTTATATATCATAAAAAAGATGAATTTTGGTATATATTTTTGATATAATCCATGTAATACATAATTATTCATTTGAATAATTGAGATGAATACATATCACTTAATCAATGTGAATCGAATCAATTTAACTCAAATGAATCCACATTCTTGTTTTCATTTTTTTTTTTGGAATGAATGCAAAATTTATTCAATCAAATTGATTTCATCAAATGCATCTGTTTTCTATATGAATAAAGAATCAACAAATTTTTTGAATAAAAAACTCATTTGTTCCTTTTGTTCTTTTATGGTTCTTGCTTGTCTCAAACCAAGTGATCAAACCTTCTCCAAGATGTTTGTGTCCCTTTCCTTGAACTGATAGGAGCTTCAGTCTAACTGTTTTGTCTACATATGTCATTCAAAAGTTGAATAATAGCTCCAACTACTCTCTAGCGCACAGTCTTAATAGCTACAATACTTTTAAGCTTCAACACCTTATTTTTCACTTTTTATTACTCTACATCATCTTGTTTCTTCCAATTAGTAATTCAACACATTCAAATTTTAAATACTACATTGGTTTTGGTAATAAAAAACAACATCCAAATTTACTAGTTAAAAATATTATTTTAATATTAAAATTATATCAAAGTAAGATATATGTATAGATAAAAAAAATTCTTATAAGAAATACAATTAATTTATCTAATTTATAATCATATAATTGATTTTAAATAACTTTTATGATATGAAAATGCCAAAAAATATCTAGAAGGTGATATGTGGGGTGAGTGATCTCCACTTCATATTTATTTAACATGTTGAATGTTTTCAGCACCAAATCATCAACATCATCAAATATTATTTAATATTCTCATTTTACTGATTTAGTTGTTAAATTTTTTATTCAACACCTCCATTGTAAATGGTGAGAGAGACACTTGCTTCGTTAGTTTGAAGATGATGGCTCCATGTCAGCATAAAAAATTCTAGGTAAGAAAATGATTTAAAAAGAGAAATTTTACTTTGCCAAAAAGAAATAATCTTTATCCTTCAAAAAAGTTAACTTATATGAAAGAGATTTTAAAATTACATTTACCCTCCCTAGAATGTGCACTGTTTACATTTCTTTACGTTAATGTTTTAGTGGGTTACACTGATAAAATATGTAATGACTTGATGAAGTTCTTATGTGTATGAATGGTGACGACGGTTTTGGTACTATCAGCTTTGCATCAAAGACAGACGATATTTTATACATTTATACTATATCTTGAAATTTTAAAGTCTTTTATTTGATTATATATTACATTTGTTCATATTTTCATTCTATATAAAATTTACTATAATTTAATCTAATATGTATGCATAAATTAATATAATGTTAACTTAAAATGTATTTTATTTTCAAAATAATGAAAATATATATGTTGTTATAAACATGAAACTAGAGCTTGACCCAACCTCACAGATATTTGTTTCAATTCTTTATATGTAGTGTTTTTAGTATTGAAATTAATCAACTATTTGAAACATGAAATTGAGATCCGCATTAATGAAATGTATATTAATTATTGGCTCCTAAAATTGTTGAACTTTTATTCCTCCAAATTATTTAAGATTTTTTATTTATACCAAAGTAATTTATGATTTAATTACTTTATGTTAAAATTTATCATTTTTGGGTTAAAAAGTAATTAGGATGTTTTAATAGAGCTTTGTTTATATCTTTATAAATTATGTAAAATAAAAAATATACTTAAATTTTAGTTATTAGTTAATCATAATTATTTTTATCTATTAATATATAGTTATAAAAAAATAAAAATAAAACATAAAATACATGGAAATGATGTTGAATAAAAAACAATTGTAAAGAACAAAATATAAATATATATTAAATTCTTAGTTGGAAGAAAGAGAAAATGATGAAAAATGTTTAAAATTCAAAAGTATGTCTTTGAAAAACAAACCATTATACATGGTTTTAGACTATACAATGTCACATCACTGAATGTCATATTTCCTTACCTTTTACATTCCACATCACATCACTAAAATTTTGGAAGATTTTTAATTTTCTTAAAGAAAAATAAAATTTTATTTTAATTTTAATTTCAAAATTAATTTAAGAGAAAATATTTAATTTCAAAGTTTAAGATATTCTCTAAAATTAATTTTGAAATTAAAATTAAAATAAAATTTTATTTTTCTTTAAGAAAATCAAAAATCTTCCAAAATTTTATTTTAAAGAAAATTTTATTTTATTTTAATTTTAAAATTAATTTTATAAAAAAATCTTTATTTTCATTTTTTGAAATTTTAAAGATTTTTTAAAA